ACACACACACACACACACACACACACACACACACACACACACACACACACACACACGGTTCAATTTTGAGTTTTCGGCTTAAATAGCCATCAGCGAAGGCTAGTTGTAAGGTACAGAGTTTGCTTTCATGTGTGACATTTTTAGAAGGCTTGAGTGGCCCCGGCTAATGAGATGCACAAACATCTTGGGAAAAGGCAGCATTGCTGAGAAATGCATAGTTCCCAGACCCTCTTGCAAGCAACCTTCCCCCCAGTCCTCAGCCAACTCCCAGTACACACACACACACACACACACACACACACACACACACACACACACTGACCTATAGTTCCCAGAGCCTCCTCCAAGCAACCCTCCCCACTGTCCCCAGCCAACTCCCAAAACACACACACACACACACACTGAACTTTGACAGAGAAAAAAAAGCCAAATTCTGGGGTTAAAGAGAAAGGGTGCCATCATGCCCTACTTTCTAGTGGCCTCCACCCTGAGTTCCTGCTAAAAAAGAAAACAGCAGCCCCCAACATTCAGAAACTAGGCTGCACTCACACCTAGGCTATTAGATGTAAACAATCCTACTGGATGTAAACAATCTCACAGAATACCAAACTCAGATAAGGTCACACAAAATGAGGCAAAGTCAGTCCACTTCCTAATTTTGTCCAAGCACAAATACAAGGTCACTGTGCCACCTGTGAAATACCAAACATACCCTCTTTTGGCTAAAAGAAGTGACTGCTGTGAGTTTACCAATTACAGCTCTATTCTCCTGCTAGTCCAGATGAATAAAATGTATTCACACTCAGAATTGTCTCTGCTTTCCGACAATGTCCAATGTAGAGCACACCCTGCTTGCTTAGGCCCTCCCCAAATGACCCAACCGAAACCCAAATGCTAGAATAGGTTCTAACTCCCTTTTCCTAAGACACCTCATGGTTCCCTATGGTGTGTTCTCTCTCACTGGGAGTCATAATCCCAACTTATTTAACTGCAGATGTGTTCCTGGGGTGGGGGGGGGTGGTCTTTGAAGGGCACAGCCCCTCTCCAAATAACTGCCCATCCCTATTTCCTCTCTTGGTGTATTTGTTGGCTGGTTAAGAACATGAGCGCTGGAGTCAAATATCTGGCTCCAAATCCCAGCTCTGCAGGACTTTGGCAATTTACTTAGCCTCTTGGAACCTACTTCAGGAAAACAGGTCTATCCTCACAGGGGACTGGGAGAGTTCAGTAAGATATGTCAAGTGCATCAGAATGGAAAGAGGCTACGAGACACCAATAAGAAGTTATATACTATAAGTCTAGAGTGAAGGACTCTGCTTGGCCCATAGTCTTTGGAAACATGCCAACTAATGTCATGTTGCTGCAATTTATTACAGTAAGTTTGATGACCAAATATACTGGTCTAGATTGACTGGCCCTCAAACAATAATTGAGTAATAGCTTTTCAGCAAAACTTCTACTCCATAGAAGAATGTACTAGGGTCACCAAAATAAGACATTTTAATGGATACATCTCATGTTCTGTGTATTATTTCTAGAGTCCTCGCTACAAA